CACCTTATATATATAAAAGGCAATAGATTTGGTTTATACCTTGATTTGCAATTGCTGCTTTCTCATTAAGTCTTCGCCTTTCTTTTCTGGAAGATCTGTCGTCGAGCGTACCCCTTGGGGTCGTTGTCTTAGGAAATTCCTTGGAATTTCGCTAAGTCTTTGTCTTTCCTCCTTGGAGGATCTGATGTCGATTGTGCCCCTTGGGGTCGCCGTCTTAGGAAATTCCTTGGAATTTCGCTAAGTCTTTGTCTTTCCTCCTTGGAGGATCTGACGTCGATTGTGCCCCTTGGGGTCGTCGTCTTAGGAAATTCCTTAGAATTTCGCTAAGTCTTTGTCTTTCATCCTTGAAGGATCCGACGTCGATTGTGCCCCTTGGGGTCGTCGTCTTAGAAAATTCCTTAGAATTTCACTAAGTCTTTGTCTTTCCTCCTTGGAGGATCTGACGTCGATTGTGCCCCTTGGGGTCGTCGTCTTAGGAAATTTCTTGGAATTTTGCTAAGTCTTTGTCTTTCCTCCTTGGAGGATCCGACGTCGATTGTGCCCCTTGGGGTCGTCGTCTTAGGAAATTCCTTGAAATTTTGCTAAGTCTTTTTATTTAACCCGTGGATTTTTTTTTAGGCAGACATGTTATTAAGGGGTGAATTCTTTTCCTTCTGCAAACATATCAATTTATTCAATTTGTAAAGAATGTACAATTGAGATATGCGAGAATTTCATACATTATTGGTAGTACAGCCTTAGTTGTTCTGCATTCCACGGGTGTTGGATCTTTTTGCCGTCGAGGCTCTCCAAAACATAGGTGCCGGGACGTAGCATTTTTCTTACGCGGTAGGGCCCTTCCCAAGCTGGGCCCAGTGGACCAGTATTTTTGGGTTTCGTGCTTTGCGTTACCCTTTTTAGTGCTAGGTCCCCTGGGACGAACCTCCTCTGTCAAACTTGCTTGTTGTAGTATCGCGCCGTTCTTTGCTGATAGGCGGCGAGACGTAGTTGGGAGTCGAGCCTTTTTTCTTCCAATAAGTTGAGCTCTTCGTTCATGCCTTCCGCGTTGTCATCGTCATTATGGACGACGGTTCTTAGAGTCGGCGTTTTGATTTCTATGGGGAGCACCGCTTCGACGCCATATGCCATGGAGAAGGGCGTTTCACCCGTAGTAGTTCAGCTCGTCATTCTGTATGCCCACAAGACCTTGGAAAGTTCCTCGGCCCATTTCCCTTTCAGATCATCGAGTTTTTTCTTGAGGGTATATTTTAATATCTTGTTGACCGCCTCGACTTGTCCATTGGATTGTGGATGGATCGGCGTCGAAAAATCTTTCCGGATGCTAAAGTCATCGTAGAACCTGCGCGTTGAGGCGTTGTCGAACTGCTTTCCGTTGTCGGATACTATCGAGTGGGGAACCCCGAACCTGCATACAATGTGATCCCACATGAATTTGGTACAGGCCGCTTCTGTGGTTGTAGTTAGGGCCTTTGCCTTTGCCCACTTTGTGTAGTAGTCCACTGCAACGATCGCAAACTTAAACCCTCTGGGTGCAAGATGTAACGGCCCGATCAGGTCAACCCCCTATTTGGCGAAAGGCTAAGGACTGAGAATGGACGTCAAATGTTCTGGGGGCGCTTTAGGAATTGTGGCATACCTTTGGCATTTATCGCAACGTCGGGCGTACTGAAAAGTGTCCTTTTTGAGTGTGGGCCAGTAGTATCCTTGCCGCAAAAACTTTAGAGCCAAAGACTGCCCCCCAGAGTGGTTACCGCATATCCTTTCATGGATTTCATGGAGGACCTTTTGTGCCTCAGTTTCGTCCAAGCACCGCTGTAGAGGGGTTGAGTAGCCTCGTCGGTAGAGCAAGCCGTCATACAATAAGTACCTAGCAGCTCTATACCTGACCCGTCTGGCTTCGTCCTTATCGTTTGGCAATTGTGCATCCATTAGGTATTGGATGAGGGGGGTCATCCAACTTTCACCTATTCGGACAATTAATGCCTCCACCTTTTCTTCTATAGTTGGTCGCTCTAATTCCTCGATGGGGACGATCCCTAGTGTGTCGGATTCTCTAGAAGATGGTAGCTTCGCCAGAGCGTCGGCGCTTGTATTTTCGGTTCGTGGTATCTAGAGTATCTCGTAATTTTTAAACTTAATGAGTTCTTTTTTTACCTTTCTTAAGTACGCTCCTATCTTATCGCCGCGCGCTTGGTATTCTTCCTTTACTTGCGCGACAACCAATTGAGAATCGCTAAAGACGCTGAGTCTTTCAATCTGTAGAGCAAGCCGTCATACAATAAGTACCTAGCAGCTCTATACCTGACCCGTCTGGCTTCGTCCTTATCGTTTGGTAATTGTGCATCCATTAGGTATTGGATGAGGGGGGTCATACAACTTTCACCTATTCGGACAATTAATGCCTCCACCTTTTCTTCTATAGTTGGTCGCTCTAATTCCTCGATGGAGACGACCCCTAGTGTGTCGGATTCTCTAGAAGATGCTAGCTTCGCCAGAGCATCGGCGCTTGTATTTTCAGTTCGTGGTATCTGGAGTATCTCGTAATTTTTAAACTTAACGAGTTCTTCTTTTACCTTTCTTAAGTACGCTCATATCTTCTCGCCGCGCGCTTAGTATTCTTCCTTTACTTGCGCGACAACCAATTGAGAATTGCTGAAGACGCTGAGTCTTTCAATCTTTAGGTGGCTGGCTAACCGTAGTCCGGCAATTAGTGCTTCATATTCCGCCTCGTTGTTTGATGCCTTGAATTTAAATCAGACTGCCGAGGTAATTTTGTGGCCTTCGGGGCTGATTAACAGGACGCCGGCTCCCGACCCGTTTTCACTCGACGCTCCATCCACATAGAGCTTCCATTCTACAACCTTGACTTCTCCAGGTGCGGCGAGAGTTGGCTTATGAGAGAACTCAGCCAAGAAATCGACGAGCGCTTGGCCTTTGATCGCAGCCCTTGGCACATATTTTATGTCGAACTGGCTTAATTCTACCGACCACTTGAGGAGTCGACCGGAAGTTTCGGGCTTTTGTAGAGCCTGCCTTAGCGGGTGGTTGGTAAGAACTCGTATTGTGTGAGACTAGAAATAGTGCCGAAGCTTCCTTGAAGCTACCATTAGGGCGAGGGCTAAACGCTCCATTTCGTTGTATCTCGTCTCGGCGTCAAGGAGCCTTGTGCTCACGTAGTAAATTGGCAACTGCACCCTTTCTTCTTCTCTCACTAATACGGAGCTTTCGGCGTGTTGGGACACGGAGAGGTATAGACTAAGCTCCTCGTCGATGTTTGGTTTTGACAAAATTGGGGGCTTGCCCAAATGCTCCTTCAATTTCTGGAAGGCCTCTTCACATTGTTGTGTCCACTCGAAGCGCTTGCTCCCTTTCAAAGCGTCGAAGAAGGGGACGCATTTGTCGGTCGCCTTTGACACGAACCTATTTAGGGCGGCGACACATCCTGTTAATCTTTGTACTTCCTTTGGCTTTGTCGGGGACCGCATGTCCTGTAGGGCATTGATTTTCTCAGGGTTAGCTTCAATCCCACGGTTGCTGACCATAAAGCGGAGGAATTTCCCCGACCCAACTCCAAAGGAACCTTTCTGGGGATTGAGCTTCATGTGGTATTCTCTTAGTACACCAAACATTTCCCCCAGATGATTGACGTGATGGCTGGCCCTGGAACTTTTTACAAGCATGTCGTCGACATAGACCTCCATTGTTTTGCCGAGCTGTTGAGCGAACATTTTATTCACAAGCCTCTGATAGGTCGCCCCTGCATTTTTTAGGCCGAAGGGCATCATTAGGCCGAAGGGCATCATCTTGTAGCAGTAGAGGCCCCTGTCGGTTATGAAGGATGTGTGCTCCTCGTCAGCTGGATGCATGAGGATCTGGTTGTATCCAGAATAGGCATCCATGAAGCTTAGCATCTCGTGTCTCGCCGTGGCGTCGACCATTTGGTCTATCCGAGGGAGTGAAAAGCCATCCTTTGGGCTGGCTTTGTTGAGGTCGTTGAAGTCGACGCATGTCCTCTAATTCCCATTGGGTTTGATCACTAGAACAGGGTTTGATACCCAATACGGGTAATGGGCCTCCCAGATGAACCCATTTTTGACCAACTTGTCGACCTATTCTTTCAGCGCTTCATATTTCTCGGGGTTCATCGGTCGACGTTTCTGGCGCTTGGGCGGATACGAGGGGTCGACGTTTAGGGAATGGCATATTACCTCGGCGTCGATCCCTTCCATGTCGGAATGATTCCAGGCGAAGACATCTAGGTTCTTCCTGAGAAAATTTTCGATCTCACCTTTAAGTGACGGAGCTAAGCCTGAGCCCACTTTTAGTACCTTGGTGGGCTCGGCTTCATCAACTTGGATTTCCACCAATTGCTCGACGGGTTGAGACCATGTGACGTCCTCTTGGATCCTGGGGTCAATGTCCTCGACGAGGCCCTGATGAACCATCCTTGCCTCCTGTCTTCCTAGCTGGTCGTATCTGCGCAGGGCGTCAGAGTACGCAACCCTGGCTTCATATTGGGTTTTCTTCATTTCCCCCACGCCATTTGGGGTGGGGAACTTGACTTTTTGGTGGTAGACGGAGGTTATTGCCCTCAATGCCTGGAGGGTTGGTCTCCCGACCACCGCGTTATACTGGGAGCCTCTTTTTATGACCACGAAGTTGGCCATTGTAGTTGCCTGCCGAGGTTTTTCTCCGGCGATTATGGGTAGCCGGATAGTCCCTTGTGGGATGACGGAGTCCCCAGTGAAACCATATAGCGGTCGGGAGGTTTTTTCCAGTTGTTCCTTTTGGATCCCCATTTTCTCTAAGCAATCAGAGTATAGGAGGTCCATCGAGCTCCCATTGTCCACCAGGATTCTGCACACGGTGTGGTTTCCTATCATGGCTTCCACCACCAAGGCATCGTTGTGGGGGAAATGAACCCCACTAGCGTCATCCTCGTTAAAAGCCACATCAGTGTGGCTGTACCTTGGGGTTTTCGTGGCGGAGACGCTCCAGAATCACTCCTGATAAACCCACCTGGCCTCGTGGGCGTAGTCCTTCTGAGACCTCCTTGAGTTTCCTCCTATATAGGGACCGCAGAGGACAGTCCTTATGACGCTGACGGGTTCGCGATCCTCTGGGCGCTGGTTCTCCTCTCGGCGTCGACCGTCATTCTGCCCACCATGGCCGTCATTTTGGGGCCTTCGTTCGGCCTTAAATTCTTGTAACCTTCCCTCGCGGATCAATCTTTCGATTTCATCCTTGAGGTCGGCACAATCGTTGGTGTGGTGGCCGACATTGCCGTGGAACCTACAAAATTTCTTCTAGTTCCTTCGGCTGGGATCTGACTTCATTGCTTCCGGTCTGCGCAGCAAGTTCCCGCGGCCGACTTGGTTGAAGACCTCCTCGACTCCTACCGTTAACTCATGGTAAGAATCGTACTTTGGAACAGTCGAGGCCTTCGGGTATCCTCTTGTCTCGACTTTTTGGCTTCCGGAGCGTTCGTCATTGCGGCGGGCTGCTTGTCCCCGTTTCCTCCTCCTCGACGCTTCTTCCCATCCTGCTTCGCAGGCACTGACCCTTGTTCGGTTCCTTTATTCTTGTTGGTCCGGTGCTCGGGGTCGTTTGCGTCTGCTTCTTCGGCGTTGATGTACCCCTGTGCTCGTGCCAAAAATTCCCTGTAGCTGGTCAGAGGTTTTCGGTTTAGCTCTCTTTTGAACGGGGTAATTTTCTTCATGCTAGATAAGGCCCCCATCAAGGCTTCTCTATCTGTTATGTCCATCGTGGCGGCGATAGCTTCCCCATACCTTACGAGCCATTCCCTCAGTGACTCGTTTGGCTTTTGGTATATCGTTGTTAGATTTTGCTTTGGGGAGACATACTTTTTGACCCCTATGAATTGGAGGGAAAACGCTTCCTTCAACTCGTCCCAGCTCGAGATAGAGTTTGGCCTTAGCGTTCGGAACCACCTTCGGGCAGAATCCGTCAAATGGTTTCGAAAGGCTCGGCACATGATCTCTTCGGCGTAACCGTGTAAGAGCATGTGCCCAGTGTACATCTCCAGATGGTCATCGAGATCTCCTCGCCCATCATATGGCGGGATTGACGGTGACCTATATTTATCGGGGAGAGGGGGTGCCATTATTTCTTCGGTAAACGGATGGTCATGTGTGCGACTGGGCGTGATATCGACGTTTACCACCTCAGCCACACGACCTATATTCTTTTTTAGGCCCGCCACGTCCCCTGTCAGTTTTTGCTCCAGGCTGGCCATACGTTCCATGATGGCGCGTGCTTCTTCTGTCGAAATGGCCGAGCCGGCTACTCTTGACGCTTCCGCCCTCTGAACGTTGGGTCCGCCTTGGGCCTGGCCACCTGCCTGCACTGAGTCCGAGTCTCCTGGTGGGTTTTGCACCTAGATTCTGGGATAGCCCCTTAGGGTTTCCTAGACCTCTCGGTACCCGGTCTTCGGGAGCTCGGAGTCCGGCGGCCCCCAAACGGCTGCCGGGGGATTGGGAAGGCCGAGGCCTAGGAGGGCCCCGGTGATTCTCACTATCTCCGGTTCCTTCTTGGATATGTGGGTGGTCACCGTGGTTCGGATCTCCAGTCGCAGCAGGTCTCTGCGGCCTCGGGGCGTCCTCTAATGGCGGCATGGAGTTCCTTCCATCTAAGCGCTCCACCACGGTCATTAGCCCATGCACCAACTCGGTTAGAGTGGTTAGTTGGGCCTGCATCTGCATCAGGTCCAGCCGTGGTGTGTCTGGAGGTGGGACTTCATGTCCGACCGGGCGTAGATCTTCTTCCATCCTGATATTCCCTGGATGGATGTCGGTTTGTAACTATGTTGTTGGGGGTCGAACGCTTTCGTTCCCCAGCGGAGTCGCCAATTATTGACAGTCAAATTTCACCAACAAAAAACCGACCGGATTACCTCTCAGTTTTCCCTCGGATTACCGGCCGTGTGTGTGTGTTTACGTATCAGGAATTGATGGATATGTGCTTGCGGGTATTTACTAAGAATCGAATATGTAAATGACGCCAGGAAATTTATAGTGGTTTACTCTATAAATTTTAGAGCTACATCCACTGTACTCTTGTATTTCTTTGTTTGGGGTAAGTTACAATTTACAACTTTTGTTCTCAGCTAGAGTTTTTTTTTCAACCTCCTCCTTGCTGGGGGTCTTTCTCCTTCTATATTGGGCTTCCTTCACCCAGGGGGTTTCCTTCACAGCTAGAAGCACTCAAGTGCTCTCTTTCGGTAGGCCCAGACGTAGCCCACTAATTAGCACTGTTCACTCAGCTAATTAGTCTTCTATTACGGCTCTGTGCTTCCTCGTAATACTTTCCTGTCCCCTGTGGGAGCGGTCTGACAGCTCGTAATTAATGCTTGCAGACCACCTCCCCTTCATCGTCAGCACTTCTTAGCCCAACCGCCTTCTTCGATAGCCCTTTCTGCGGTCGAGAGATCTTCATCCTTTAGCGTCGACGGCGCAATTGGTCGACGCCACAAAGGATCGTCGCCCTAACTTGGACTTCGTCCTTGGGCCTTCGCAGCGGGGTATGAGGAGTCTGCAAGCGTCGAGGGTTCCTTGCTTGATGGGGATTAATTAAGGCCACGTGTCGCGATATACTTTGCCCACGCGTCCGCCACATTTTCCCACACAACAGCAGCTAATCTATTTTTTTTTTTCAAAAAATTAAACTAAAACATACATGAATTTACCTAGTAATATATATATATATATATATATATATTTACGACAATTTATAAAATGCATGAGTCATGCCTCCCTTAAACGCAGGGGCTCCGAGAAAAAGTTTCAAATCTTGGCTGATAAAGAGTTAAGTACATATATGTCCATTAGGCAGAAGATGAAAAAAATGAATGTCCATTAATTGTGATATTTACACATAAGTCTGTCAAATAACCTGTAATAATATTTTTATCCTCTATTAACCACCCATAACCATCCATACAAAAAGGATATATTTAGGATAATATTATCTCAATAACTATAAAATAGACACATTAATGTTTGTTGATAGTGAAAATTTGTCAACTTAGAATTTAACCTCTCCGGGAACACTCGCGTCATCACTCTCTCAAATTGACCGAAAATAAATGCAGAAAATCAAAAAAACACGAAAATTTACAGTGGTTCAGTAAGATCTCATTGCCTACGTCCACTTGTGGATGCACTAAATCTTAAAGAGTACAGAGGATCTCTCTCAGAGTAGAAAATTGTGCGTAGAAAATAAATGAGGAGTTCAACCTTTATTTATAGGTTCTCCTATACATGATATCTCTTATCTCTAAATTACATTTCGAGGTTAGATTCCTATCTTATCCCCATACCAGTATTCCCGTAGGTTTATCTATATATTTAATTTTTATAAATAGGTGCTTGTAGAAGATAATTCATATCTAGTCTTCTATTTGAATTTGAATGCGAGATAAGGGATATCTTCTCTTGATTTGGCGGGCTTTTGAATTGATCTTCTACCTTATCCCGGACTTGTTGACTTCTCTATATAGATATTTTCATTACCCTTTTGAGACTTCTCTACCGCGATCTCTCAACTATATAGGAGTTCCTCAATCTAAGGATTAACCGTTAACTCTTGACGGCTAAGTTTATCCTAACTTCCGTAACTCTCAACGTCTTGACTTAGAGGTATGGTGGGATAACTCAATCATGGTGCGATAATACTATTGTTAAATTAGAGACATATTCTAAACATAGGTGTAAAAGTGATCATTTTGTATAAATATTTCGTTGATTAATTCGCAACTTCTCTCGATGAGAAAGATCCTTTTCTTTGTTGGGTTTCGGCTTTAATTAAGCCCTTTTTTGTTGTTTGGGCCCAAGGCCCATTTGTTTCTCCCATTGGACGTGAGGAGTAGGTGTGTAGCAGCCGCGTAACTGAGATTTGATCCCTTTGTTGTGAGAGATTTTTACAACTACCTCTCAAAATGGCCCCCAAACGTTATGTCTCTTTTTTTTCCTATCCCTTTAGACTAGACTAGTTAAATGACCCATTAGTAGATTACTAAAATACCCTCAATAGTCTATTGGTAATTTACAAGATCCAAGCGGTGGCTGGCTGACGGGTCTCCAGTGGCCGGCTATGACCCGTAGCCCCCGGGCTATACCTGTAGCTTCCCCGGTTATGAGCCGTAGACCCCCGGCTATGACCTGTAGCTCCCCGATCTATGACCCGTAGCCCCCCCGCGATGACATGTAACCCCTCGGATTATGACATGTAATCTGTCAGACTTTGACCCGTAGTCTTCAAGTTATGACCCATATTCTCACAAATTATTTCTATTATTTGCTAGATTATGAGTAATAATATGTCAAATTTACAAAATCACAAGAATTGAGCAACAAAATTAAAACAAAAAAAAAATGACAAATATGAGAGTCCAAATCAAAGCAGTACAAATTCAAACATAAACAACCAGCTAATAGCAAAATCAAATCTCAGATATTACCAAAAGAAAAAACATCTAAAATCCTACTGCTAGATTATTTTGTTTTTTAAAACCACAAAATGATCAAACACATAAATCCAAAAATCTCAAACACATAAGTCCAATTATCAGGTTCCCAAAGATATATCATTGAATTGCAAAAATATGTCATCATATCAAAGAATCTTTGTTAAATATAACTGCACTACTTGCATTGACATTGCCCAACAATTCGTTCACTTTGGTTGCAGTCCTGAGCCAATATGAAAGCACCCATTACGAGAAATATCAACGAGATAACAACTCAGGAAAAAAAGAAAGGACACGGAAATGAGTGTTGGGACATACTTTGCAGATTGTTCACGTGCCTTCAAGGTATCTTTCTTCGACCTTGCTTCCTATCTGTGGTTTGAATGTTACCAAGAGCAGTGCACAAATTAATATGGATTTGAAACTTGATAAGCTACTTAACGTGATCGCCGCTGAATCCAAGCAGGGATGCCGGACAGAGGGAGAGAGAGTGGACGACACATAGGAGCCTTCCTCGCAGCCATGATCCCAGCAGATGACGGACGTTGCAACGAGATCGGTAAACTCCGGCAGAGAGAAGAGGAGGCGCAACACCACACGGCATCTCGAACTTCTCGCGATCGAACCTCGCACGTCGATCCACTGACGGCGCTATCAAGAGAACCGGCGACGGACCGACGATGGACAGTGATGCCGGATTTGCAACAGACCGACGATGTTTCACTATTATTGAGTGACTTGCCGAAATATATCAAAGAAAGTTTCACTATTCTTTTGCTGATATGATAGTTGCGAAACGAGATCTCTTTCAAAACATGAATATCATGCATTAAGTAATTCCAAAACCCCAATAAAGGAGATCCCAACTCTCTTCAACCTTTTGCCAAAATCCAAGATTTTCCTTTTTGTTGTTTATTTCTAGCGTGTTATTAATTTATTTTTTCTTCCATGAAAGACCATGCTTTAGAAGGTAGCTCTTCAGAGGCTTCAAGCACATATGATGATCACAAGAAGATGCAAATGGAATTCACAGAAAACTCACAACCTGGTCCATTTAAAAGATCCGAACCGAGTTCTCAATTTCTCCTTGATCTCAAGCATTCTAACGAAAAATCGGCAGGTGGATCAAAGTTAGAACTCAATCTTTTTAACTCTATAAACCCTAGTTCTCCACATCATGCCTGCAACAGGAGCGTAAAGTCTTCCGGTAAGCTTTCATGTGAGAAGAAAACTATAGAAACTAAAATTTTCCATGCAACTTTTGTACGAGATCGTTCTCAACTTACCAAGCATTGGGAGGCTATCAAAATGCATACAAACAAGAGCGTGGAATGGCCAAACGACGCCCTTCGGAATCGTTTGGGAATCCTCAATTCCCTTACTACTCTTATTCATACATTCCTTCCCATTATTTGTATGGATCATCTTTCAATAAGCCACCACTGGGTGTACGGATGAGTTCAATGATAATTTGGCCATCTCCGGTGGGTCCTGAGGATTCGGCCTTGATGGTGGTTACAATGATGGTGGCGGTAGCTTATGGAGGTCAAGGCAAAGTTTTTATGACTCCCAAATATTTCGTAGACGAGATGCTGAGATCGCATAGCTTTTTTGCTGGTAGTGTTGGTGGATTAGGG